GGCGCGCCTGGAGCGCGTGCCCGGCGTGACGGGGCCCCGCACTGGCCCGGGACTGGAGAGGGAGGCGGGCAGAGGGGACGGCGAGCCCCAGCCGGGCCTCTGGATGGCGACAGAGACGGCCCAGCGTACCCATAGCCTCCTGGACCCTGGGTGCGCAGGACCCACAGGGCCAGAGGGAAGTTTGTGGACTTGGGACCCTCCCAGAGTCTTCCACCAAAGGCCCTGGGGTCACAGACCTTGTTTGGTATGGATCGGGAGAGTGAACCCAGAGTTTAGATCAAGCAAAGGATGCTGCGTTGAGCCTGTTGCCCACTTGTGTCCAGCACCAGGGCTCCAGGGTGTGCATTGATGTTCTAGGCCCACCAGGGAGCATCTGGGGGCACTTGCCCTGCCCTTACTCCAGAGCTTGCCACCCTGTGGACTCTAGCGTCCACCCTAAGACATTCCTTTACATCTGCCCAGAAACACTTCCTTGTCCAGAGTGCACTTCAGCCTTTACCTAAGCTCTGGTTCCTGGTGCCTGCTCTCCTCCTCCATCTTCCAGAGTATGTGTAGGGCAAAGTCACTGAGCCGGTTTTCTGAGGAGGGCAGCAATGGTTATGGCTTCTCTGCTGTGCGTTTCCTGTCATTGTGGAAGAGGTTTGTACCTGTAAACCAGCTGAGTTGGGTGAAGTCACTTTTCCACCTTTCCTAGTAAGCCCCTTGACGCCCAGGAGGTGACTCATAAATCCAGGTGTTTCCCAGATGGCCCTGTGGGTACATGGCCATGAGATTTCCTCTCCTTGCCTTCCTACACATCAGTGGACACGCTAATAAAACCCACAGTTTGGGGTTCATTGGCCTTTGTTAGAAAGGGAGACCTTACCCCACAAGTCACTAACTAGGTGGTCCCCAGCATGAGCTTCTCACCATGCACCTTGCTCCAGTGTGGCATTTTAAAGGGACTAGGAAGTAGATAAAGCTAACAAGGGGCTAAGGGAAGACAGGTACCCAGGCCCTACATGCAATGCACACATGCATGTACTCCACATGCACAGCTAGATCTCATGTACATGCACACATGCACACCATATGGCTGCATGAAGATATTCCACAAACACACACTCCACATACATGCATGCCACAGGCCTGTATGCACACAACCCACATGTATGCCTATTTATACATGTCATCACAGGGCCACAGGCCTCCCCCCCCCACATGTACATGTACAAGGCACCAACATGAATATGCATGCTACCTGGCCACATACACCTCCACATATATGCACATATAAACACACACATTCAGATACATAAATGCCATATACAGCACACATGTGCATGCACATATACAAAGCACTTACATATACACACATATATAACACATCACTGCACTCCACACACATGCATCTGTATGCATACATGTCCCATGGCCACACCTCCACATGAATGCACATACAGTTACACAAGCCACAAGACCACCTACACACACATGCAGAGAAAGTGCAAGTACTTCCTTTCACAAGCAAACACACTTACAAACCAGTGCTATTGAACTGAGGCAGGCTTCACACTAAGATCACCCAGCCCCCGACAATGTTCTCTCTATAATATGATCATGTCCACCAAGGGGGTGTCCCACTAATTTCCAATTCCTGTTTAATTAAGACCCAGGTTTTTCAGGTACTGCCTTTCCCAGGACAGCCTCTTCCAGCTTACTTTCCTGCAGGGAGGAGAGTCTGCAGAAACCAGATCTTCTGGCATTGTCAAGTGAGCAGGGTGGTAGCCCCTCTTGTCTTCAGTATTCCAGATGGACACCTCTGCCCCTGGCCCAGGTCCCTCAACTGGGTTCTGCAAACCAGACCATGGCTGTCCGAATCTGCTTTCACACACAAACACACCTTCCTTTGATCTGTACCTTTTATACTGCAAAAGAGACAAAGCTCTAAACCCTCTCACATTCCACTTCATCCTGTCCACCCTGAAATTCTGCTCTGAGACAGGTGTCCTTTCACACAACATGCATTTATTGAATGCCAGGAATTTATCGATGACAGGCACAACGGGCCAGAAAGACAATAATATCTGTATTTTCTCTCCCTGGGAAGTTTGCAGTGGCTTTGAGAAATACACAAGGAAAATGCAATCACATTCGTGTGATGGGTATCATGGTGAGAAAGATTCAAAGGTACTATTGGAATGCTTGTGCTTGTTTTAAAAGTGATTTGTGTGTGTGTGTGTGTGTGTGTGTGTGTGTGTGTGTGTGTGCTCCTGTGTATGCACTTATTCAGTTTTGTTGTGCAACACTGTGTGCATGCTGCACAGGCCAGAAGAGGGCACTGGGGCCCATGGAACTGGGATTACAGGTAGTTGTAAGCCACCCGTTGGTGCTGGAACCCAACTCAGATCCTCCGGAAGAGCAACAAGAACTCCTAAACCACTGAGCCATCTCTCGGTCACTCTGTTGGAACATTCAACCCAAGGTTGAGTTCTGGAGTACTGTAAGCAATATCTGGGGGAGTTTCTATGAGATGTGTTACAGACAGACTTTTGTGCCATCTTTAGTGTGCATGCAAGCACATCTGCGTGCACAAACACACACACACACACATACACACACACACATCTGAAATAAAAGCTTTACAGAATAGCACTTACCCAGTTACTGTCTCTAATATTTTCTATTCTGTCCTGATTTGTTTCTTAAAATGCTAGTTGGTTGCCCACCCAATCATATTGCAATATTGCACTAATAACCTTTGTTTGAAAATTCCTTTTTGCAGGGCAGATGTGATTTTCTTTGTACTTAGGAGGGGTAAATTGAACCTGCCCTATCATTAGAAGTGTCAGTGACAGTGGCGGGAGCCAGGGTACATGGAGGCGCACGACCTGCTGTATTTTACACTCCGGCCTTGGGATTTTGGGTGGCTGCAATATTGGGGAAAGTTTAAGATATTGGAGTATGGTTCATGTCAAATCCTAAAGATTCCTGCGGCAAGGGGTGTGAGTGGAGCCACTGTGGGTCAGGATTCATTATGGAAGTGAATTCACAAGACACAGAGGCTGAAGAAGCCCAGTTCTCTACCCCAGGCTCCACAGAGCCAGAAGCTGTGGGAAGGTTATGAGAGATTAAAAAGCTACAACAGAATTGTGTATAGCTCCCCTGACCTAAAGATCAACCTGCAGTCTAGATGGAAGAACAGGTGCCTGGCCCAGCATGCTCCATCCCAGTCTTGTTTCCAGGGCCTGGTAAGAAGGACCAGGATGGAATTGAGGATAGGGGGACAAGCGGAATGCTGAGTTCTGTTGCTAGGAGACAGAGGCTCAGTTCTAGATCCCAACATGTGTTACCAATTGACAATTTTTGTTGTTATTGTTGACGGGTTGTTTTTGATTACTAGCCAGAATTAGCAGGACTTTAAAATGTGAAGGCTGTGTAAGCTTACAGGAGAATCATACCATCACCTTAACTCTAAGCCTAAAACACAAGAGACTGTTTAACCAGAGGAGAGCCCCAGGTCTCACAGAAGGCCAGTCCATAGTCACTGATCTCCAAGGGATGTGGCCAGGCCAGGACCATCCAGCCTGGTGGCTTTTGCATCAGTCACAGAGTATAACAGATAGGGTGGACTCTTAGGATGAGATGCTGAGCAGAGAGCTTGCCCGGTATAAGCACTCTCCATCCGTATGGAAATTCTCAGCATCTCAAGCTGTGCTGTCAGTATTTCCCACTCTGCTTGATTGAGCCACAGGCTGACAAGACTTCCCCATCATCTCCATCTTCCCCAGTCTCGCATTTGCTGGTTCATCCCAGGTGTCTGACCAATTAAAGCACCCAGAGACCCTGAATTTGGATCTTTGTGTATTGACGTGAAAATGAAGTTGTCCCCACAGGAACAGTGGAGAGGGAAGCTGACTTCAAAAAGAGACATTCCTGCTTTTAGGGAATCTTTGTGGATCATGAGATGGCCGGATGTTCAAGGGACAGATTGTGTGGCCTGTCCTTAACCTGCTCTTAACAAGCCTGTGTTCTACACAGACCTCCACATCTCTGTACTCCTCTGCTAAACACATTTCAGAGAATACCTCTGTCTGTCAAGGTAGGACCTGTAGGAGAAGCTAGACCACAGATTCAGAAGGTGCCCAGATCCATGTGGGAAGAGTCTGCTTCCTCTCCCATCTGCGAGCTTTGGAGACCAGCTCAGCAGCTTCGCAAAGATGTGGCCGGGAGTGACATGGACTTTGTGACTCCAAGCTTCTGGCTACAAAGGCTATGAATTTGGTCTTCATGTGTGTTGACACAGTTCCTGGCCAGCTTCAAGGGACTGACCTCAAACGAGGAGGGATCGCCTTGCAATGAGACAGGACAAGGGCACAGTCATGGGAAGAGTTAGCAGAGGGCAGAAAACACAAGACAAGGAGTCTCCAGAAGACTGTAAGCCTCACGAGGACTACCATCCATCAGGCTCTAGCACATAAACTGCCTTCAGGGAGTTGCTAGTGGAGACAAGAAGTGACTTTAAACAGTGATTACCAGTTGTATGTGCACCATCTCTAATATAGGAAGTACGGTTTCAATATCTCATTCTGTGTACAGCCACTTCCCAGGATTCCTTGGGCCCTTTCACAGCCCCCCTTGAAGTTTATGGCACTTAGGATGAAGGGGTTGGGGAAAATTCTCAAGGATTCTGAGCAGGAGGGTGGCAGCTGGGGTTAGAACCCATGCCTTCTGGCTTCCGAAAA